AACAGAGAAGCAGATCATGGCTTGTCTACAGTGAAAAGAAGGACTGGGTTATTTACTTTGGCCTTTTTGGAAACACAGGAAGGAGCAATCGGCCCCAAATTTCCTATGTAAGTGTTCTAATATAAAAGAGTAAAATAAACAAATGAATATTGAACAGTAGATTAAGGAGATTTAATTGTGGAAAAAAACTGCAGCCTGTTTATGTAAAACTGCATTATGCATGAAGATGATCAACAGTCAGAGCTCCACCCTCCAATGCTTCGACCATTATTCAATTCAACTTATCACAAAAATTTAGGCCATAATTCTCCTTGATCTTGCTCTTGTTTATCCTCATCATCATTGTTAGTATCTAAACTGATCTGCTACCTCTCTCCCTCAGTGCTTTCCTGGATCTCTCTCCAGGGTCTGAAGGACGGTTGTACTAATAAACCATTTAAATCTTCCTCACTTGTCCCCAGTTATTTTCTGCTCTGCAGTATTATTAGCTGCAACAGGAATAATTCAGGTTTATAATACAGATATTACATAAAATGACTGACTTCTGGTCCCTTTCCTTCTTTTCCAGGTGAGTGTACTGTGATGGGCATCCCCAGTGTCACCACCAATCTTTCAGGGTTTGGCTGCTTCATGGAGGAGCATGTCTCCGACCCTGCTGCCTATGGTAATCCACACACACATTCATTCAACTCTGTTAATTTATTTTCTCCAGCAAAGGCTTATGGTCCATTAACCTTCTTTTGTGGATCAGGTATCTACATCGTCGACCGTCGATTCAAATCCCCCGAGGAGTCGTGCAACCAGCTGACCCAGTTCATGTTTAGCTTCTGCCAGCAGTCTCATCGTCAGCGCATCATCCAGAGGAACCGGACTGAGAGGCTGTCGGACCTGCTTGACTGGAGATATTTAGGACGGGTCGGTTTGACTGTAGCACTACTGGAGGTTCAAAGATGGAACGTTACTCATTAATATGCGGCTTATACACAGTTTAGTTGGTTTTAGTGTTTAATTATCACCAACTGTTGGAACATTGTGGTAACATCTTCAGCACCAAGATTACCATAACAACAGATGACTGATGGTTTTCTTACTCTGGAGAAAATGAATTTAAGTTTAGGTTTTAAAAGAAATTTCAGAGCATTAAATATCTTTGATTTATTATTAGCCTTATTTCTACATTCTGATTGGTCAGTTCTGTCATAGAATACATGCAGCCTTTATTGAAGGTTTTCTCTAAATAATGCATGAACAGTGAGAGAAATACCTGCAAAATATTTTAATTCTTAGACATTGATCTTCTCTTGGGACAGTTCTACACCCACGCCCGTCATCTGGCCCTGAGCAGATGTTTCCCAGACAAATTCAAGACGGACCTCAAAGGCCCACAAAAGGCAAGTAAGATTAGAAATATGCATGTTATATATTTGCACAGGTTAACCTTTAAATGCATGCCTGCACTGGTCTGTTACAGATCAGCTTACTTCATGTGCTGCTGCTGTGGATCAGAAAGTGATTTTCACATAATAAGATCAAACCAAGAAAGCTCAGCTGTTAATAGTTTAGATTAGTGAAGCATCTTGGTTTGAATGACAGGAAGAGAAACCAAACTCTACATTCAGCTCCTTCTGAACCGTAGGTAACAGTCAGTCGGACTCAGTCCAGACATCTGCAGAGGGGATTTAGTTGCTGCTGTAGCTTTTAGCTGAGCTGCTGGAAACAGGAAGTTAATGTCAGGTTGGGTGGAAATCAGTCGATCAAACGCAGAGATGAGTTTTCTTATTTCTTAAAGGTTCCAAAAGGCAATGGAGGCCAAATCCAAGAACTAAAAATACAGAAAACCAAAAAAAACCTAGAGACACCAGGAGAAAACACACAAGAGGCTAAGAAACAACAAGGAACCAGCAAACAGTGACAGGAGACAATAAATGGGAGATGTGGAGCAGCTGTGGATGGAAAAATCTAGAAAAGAGCTAGGGAAGGAAACTGACACAAGGGGGTAGCAGAGGGTAAACAAGAAATACATAAGAACTTAAAAACCATTAAAAAACCTAGAATAACACAAAGAGAAAACGTAAACCGTGACAGTTGAACTTGAAGAATTGATGTTTATAGATGTAGTTGCATATTTGTGTGTTTTTATTCTCATGTGTGCATAATGTGAGCGCTGTAAACAAAGTAAAAATCCGATCCAAGTTTCCCTGACCTTAGCTTTCTTTCATCCACAGACAGAGGGTTTCAGATATCCCCGGCCATCTTCAGTGCCTCCTTCTCCCTCTGCCTCCCTCCGCTCTACCCCACACCACAGCGATGAGGAGGATGATGATGATGAACCGTACAATGAGGAAGATGAGGCAGAGAGGGACCGGCTGAACATCAAGCTTCCTTTCATGCTGGGAGCTGTGCCAGAGGGCAAGAAGAAGCAGCCTGGAGAGTCCGGGAATTAAAATCCTTCTCCCGCTAACACTGATCTAAAACAGACATAAAACAATCAGAATCCCTTCCAAACACATTAGTATGAACAACACGAAAACTTACAATTTAATACTTAAATCAGATTCTTGTTTCACACACCTGTTGGTAATTTCTAGATAAGCTACTGGGATTATTCACTATTATTCTGTGAGTCGCTACATGTTTCTCACCATACACACATTGGTCACAGTATATGACGGGTCACAGATCTTTTTGTAACGCCAGGATAATCTCATCATACCATGATAATTACATATTATGATTATTATGATGATGATTATGACTATTTTTGTTATCAATGTCTCATCTGATTAAATACTAAAAAGGTTAATCGCCATAATATTTGAAGCTACCAGTAAAAACAATCTAATAAATGCAGATTAAACATGTGGTTATCTCTTCCTCCTTCATTCTCAGATCATGCAGATCTTGTCTCATTCAGTTTTCCTTTTACTGACTCTTATTTTCTAGAATGAGGAACTTTCATAGATCCATCTGAGTGATAGAAAAGTAGATCTAAGCCTGTAAGTCTGTGCTCAGAAATCATGACCATAAAACAGCCAAACAACCCATAACTGTACTGACAATCGCTATCTTCAGATCTAAACTAAAAGTCACCAATCAGTTCTAGAAATATCTTTAGATGAACCCTTGTTGATCCTGGAGAACCACTGAACCAGATTAGCTCCTTATAAGGACATTTAAATCGTTCTGCTTTATTTGATCTGAGTCTATTTCCTCCTGCAGCTGTAGCCAATGATCTGATGTTTGTCGACTAACTTGGTTCATCTTACATTTTCACTCCTCATCTTTAGTAAAACAAACACATCAAAGCCATTTTTTATTTACCTGGGAACCAACCAAACATTTATCCCAATGATCAGCCCAGTTAAGATCAACCGATGAACCTCCTCACCATCATGGCAGCTGAGACCGCTGCTGATAACCAACTTCCTCGTCTGCTCCTCATCTATACTCTAACAGCTGCTAACCAGCTAGCTAACAGCTGCTAACCAGCTAGCTAATGGCTGCTAACCAGCTAGCGAACAGCTAACAGCTGCTAACCAGCTAGGTGACCGCTGCTAACAGCTAACAGCTGCTAACCAGCAAGCTAACAGCTGCTAACCTAACCAGCTGGCTAACAGATGCTAACCAGCTAGCTAACAGCTGCTAACCAGCTAGCTAACGGCTGCTAACCAGCCTGATGAGCGCTGCTAACAGCTAGCTAACAGCTAACAGCTGCTAACCAGCTAGCTAACGTCTGCTAACCAGCTAGCTAACGGCTGCTAACCAGCCTGATGACCGCTGCTAACAGCTAGCTAACAACTGCTAACCAGCTAGCAAACAGCTGCTAACCTAACCAGCTAGCTAACAGCGGTTAACCAGCTAGCTAAAAGCCAACAGCTGCTAACCAGCTAGCTAACAGCTAACAGCTTCTAACCAGCTAACAGCTGCTAACCGGCTAGCTAACAGCCAACAGCTTCTAACCAGCTAACTAAAAGCTGTTAAGCAGCTAGCTAACAGCCAAAAGCTGCTAACTAGCTAGCTAACAGCTGCTAACCATGCAGCTGTTAGCATGCTAACCCTCTTTCTAGCATAATAACACGCAGCATTTTACCCTCATTCTTTAGCTGCAAGCTTCATGTGAGCAGCTGACTAGAGACTACATAACAAGCAAACTCAGTTCACTGTTGGAAAAGAAAGCCTCCTTCTTTCTGTTCTTTCTAAAATAAACGTGACAAAACTCCATGAAAAGTCGTCTGAAAGTGGATAAAGCCTTAGAGTTTACTGAACCACATCTCGCTATAACTCCTTTGCAGCTGTAGCTCTGTTTCTCTGTCTTTTAAACACATTCTTCAATATATTTATTACATTTCTGCATTAAATCGCTGGTTCAAGTGGGGTGAAATAGGCGCTTCCTGTTGCCTATTGCCATGGAGACTCGTTTAATCGGTGCTCGACTGATAATGGCTTTTCAACTTGTTACGCACGTGTTCCACTCTGAATGGACCTACTTAGAGTTGATAAAATTGATTCATAGCAGACTAAGAGTTTTAAATCTTAGGATAGATTGATTCAGAGTTAAGGAGATTAGTCTGAGTTTATCAAACCTGCTCATTTTAATTGCTGGAACCAAAACAGTTCAATCTTGTGAGCATACTCAATAAAAAAAACTTGCATTTAATTTAGTGCCACTTGTTGAGAGTCTTTGAAAATCATATCCTAAATGTAAATGACATTATGCATGCAGTATGAGAAAATAAAGTGTTTATCCA